TCGTTCAATTATCAATTTATATATTTTTATACATTTATCACTTCATTCATTCATTTTTTAACACGAAGAATGTTTAATTTAATCAATCATTCAATTAGACAGTCCTTATGTTATTCAGTTGTTTCATTCGTGCATTCATTCTCATGCAACTAACACATCAACGTGTGGTCGTGTTGTGTGTGTGTGTGCGTGTGTGTGCGTGTGTGTGTGTGTGTTGTGTGCGTGTGTTGTGTGTGTGTGTGTGAGTGAGTGTGTGTGTGTGTGCATTAGGGTGTTTATGTATAAGTGGTGTGTGTGTTTGTGTGTGTTTATGGCATTTTCTAGGCTATGATTAAATAACTATGACCCATCGACAGCAATAATAACAACAAAAATAACATCATCATCAACATCAACATCATCATCATCAACAACAACATCATCAACAACAACAACCGCAACAACAACTTTATTCTACACGTACATACATCAACAATTTGTGGTGTAAACATTCTTAGCATTAATTATTTGCACTGCAAACCTAAAATCAACAAATTAACATGAAAGACATGAATTAAGTGGAAACAACATAAACAACAACAACACTGAGTATAATCATATAAATAACATAACAACAACAACAACATAAACAACAACATAGGATATAAACAACATTTATCGCTTGCTAAATCCGTCTTCAATGTTAACAATTTGCAGTAACAAACAACAACATTAACAACAACATCATCAACAACAGCAATAACATTAACAACAATAACATCATCAACAGCAATAACAGCAACAACATCATCAACAACAACATCAATGACATTATAAAACACATTCTTAAATTTGCTCTCAAAATATTATAACAACAACTGGCAATTATAAAATAAGACATTGGTTGCCACTCATCACCCACAAATCTGGAACTTTGATGATAACATGATTAACACTCATAAACAACAGCGTCATTAAAAGCAACAACAACATCATTATAAGCAACGACAACATCATAACAACGTCATATGCAACAACAAAATTGTAAACAACAACATAAACAACAACAACAACATAATAAACAATTACAACATGCTCTTCCTTACAACATCATGAGCCAGAACATCACAGAATAACAACTTTAGTAGCCAAAAACTTTTTGTAATTATAAAAAAAATAGCAACACAACTTAAATATTATTACAACAACAACGACATAACAAAAACATAACAACAACACATGTGCAACAACAACAACAACAAAGACCTAACACCACAAAACCACATGACAAAATATTATTACCTCGCAGTTTATAAAATAAAATTTATAAAATTTATTTATAAAATAAAAAATCAATTTTCAACATTTTGTTCGTAAACACAACAACATCTGACGATGGTGATGACGACGATGATGATGATGATGATGATGTGGATGGTGATGTTGATGATAATGATGATGATGAGGATGGGAATGATGATGATGATACTAATAAATATTCCATTTGCAGCAAACGTCAATAGGTATGTATTAGGACCGCTAATGAAAAATTTTTCGCCATTAACAATAAAAATAAAAGAAATAATAAAAATGAATAAAAATTAAAAAAATTATGAAATAAAACAAAAATAAGATTAATCTAAAAAGAATAACAATAATAAAATAATAATAAAATTGTTAATAAAGTTATTATTAAAATTATAACAGCACCATAACAATAACACCATACCAACATCACCACAGAAATTGGGGCTTCACTCTGCATCAAAAATTGACCGAAAGCATGACAGATAGAAACGTTTCACTAAAAGAGTCAATGAAATGGTTTGATGGTTGTGTTACTGCATTACTTTTACTAATATTACTACTAATGCAATTTGTGGACAATTCTTTTTTTAGTATTCCTCAAAAGTAACGAGAACAAATACACGGTGTAGACAAATGCGGATCACAGACATCACAGACATTCTATGTGATATGCGGGAGTTGCTTGCTTTCGAACCCAGCAACTACAACCGCATAGCAAAGCACCTCAACCATTACACCACCACCGCGCCGGCCGCCCAACCTACAAAAATAGTATAACGTGCGCACTGCAAATAGCTTTTTAGTAGATTTCATCGAAGAAATGAATTTGTGTTTGTCGTGGTTTCCATTGTTGATGTGTAGTTATATATTTTTTTAATGTTATTATTTTATCATTTCATTATTCTACCATTGCACCATTTCATCATTATATCATTTACTAATTGATCATAATATCGTTATATCATTACATCATTGACAGAATGGCTGCAGATATACAATGATTGGGAAACTACCTCAATAGTGACAGAGTGCCTATCAGTAATTAATATGCTTAAAGATGGTAATGATAAAGACCGGACAGATTAAAACTAATAGACACAAGCAGCAGGCTGGAATCACAAGGATGACACGTGATTTTGGCGTGGATTCCAGGTCTCTGCGGAATAGAAATGAAGAGGTGGACAAAGATGTCAACAAGAGCAGACTTTTCCAAAAAAGTTGCATAATCAGCAATCAGGGAAGGAAAAGAATGATAAAAGAAATGTTTTCAAGAAAAGAACAAATGAAATATACAGCAAGGTATATAAGAAAGAAATTAGTCTGAAGAAAAATGGGACAAAAAAGCGAGAACTGAACGTTTCCGAACTGGTTATCACGTGTCACTGAGAGGCAACAGGATACGGCTAGGTCACGCAGATGATGGCAAATAAAGATTGTGCGGAGAAGATAACAAGTTAGTCCCGCGCCTATAGCTTGATTGTCTGGCCATTTCACTGCCAAGAAAAAGGTATGGACTCGGTGAATTCAGCGAACGCCCATTGGGGGCAGCGGAAATAGTGTTACAAATACTGGACATACTGGAGAAAAACTAGTCTGAGAGCTTCTTTCTTTCTTCTCTTATCTTTTCAAAACATTGACGACAACCGACCTTCAAAAAACTCGATCTTTAACACTTCTAAGAGTTGAAATGCAGAAACCAGCAACAACAACAAAACAACTACATAACAACAAAACACCAACACGACAACAACCAAAAGCAATCGATGAAATGTAACGCAGCAAACCCGTCAGACTCATTCCAACATTTTCACGATCGAATAAAAAATAAAGTACGATAGTAATTCATTTGGCATGGAAGACTTTTCTACGTGCATCAACAACAACAACAACGAACACAACAACAGCGAACACAACAACTACATAAGATTTTTAACCTTTTTTGATAATTTCCGTTTACTTTAGTTATATTTCAAACAGATTTTTTGATATTTTTCATTGTCTGGTGATGGAAGGCATCCCCGCACCCCACCCCCCTGTCTTTGGATCCGCCACTGGCAACAACAACAACATTCGCATGTGGCAAACGCACGCTTGAAAGCAATTTCAGTGACGACATCGGCAGAAATTAATTTATCAGCACAACCAAACGCCATTGCCGTTACTACCTGTGCTTTTACAGCTACGTTTTCTGCAATTGCTGCTTCTAATGAAGCTTCTACTTTTACTATTATACAACAACAACAACAACAACTACTACTACTACTACTACTACTACTACTACTACTACTACTACTACTACTACTACTACTACTACTATTACTACTACTACTGCTGCTGCTAGTAGTAGTAGTAATAGTAACAACAACCAAAAGTTTTAGTATCATCGATATTATTATTATTATTATTATTTGTTATTATTGCTACTGCACAATGGTCGTTATATTTCGTACATTAAACAGCAGCAGAAGATGGCGGTTAATTTTTTTTATTTATTTATTACGTCTGTTTCGGTTTTTTTTTATCGGCAGACGATATTATGCTCTTTTTGTTGTGCATTCATCTTTCTAATAAAGAACAGATGAGTTGTGTTTTATTGTTTTATTTTTATATTCTTTGTTTATTTTTATATTCTTTGTTTTATTTTTATATTCTTTGATCCGTGTTTTGCTTTTGAAGTGTTCCATCTCCATCCGGTTCCGGTTCCGCGACGATATTCTGACCAGGAATGCTCAAAGTTAAATTGTTGAAATCAATTTTATTTAGTTTAGCTGGCGAATAAACGTGACAGCTTTAAATAATTTTACTTACACATTTTCAACAACAATTGCATATGGTGGTCATCTGTGTTACTTACATTGCAATAAATTAGCATTGTAGCTGTGATTGTTGCTATTGAAATTGGTTGGCGAGCAGCCCCTGCAGTGGCCTCAGCTCCATTACGTCATAATTATGTGTTGTTGTTTATTCGCAATCAACAGCATCACTTGGAACGTTTCGCAAGACGAACAACAATATTGCTGATGCTGATACAAAACAACAACACAGCAACAACAACACAGCAACAACAGCGTCCAACTCTTTTCAACACACAAGAGTCTATCAATGCAAGCATATAAACAACAACTTCTTCTGTCGACAGCATTCAACTTTCCATACGAACAAACTTCAATAGAAGGCCAGATGGGGTTTGCACAGTGTTTATCATCATCATCATAACCATCACTCGAACGATGAAACGCAATGACGTAACGCCAACAATTTCGCAAAGATACAAGAAATAAAAGGAGTATTGGGGAAAGCTACAACAGTTAGAGAAAGAAAAAAACATCGTAAGAATAACATAGAAAGAATAACTAAGAAAGAATAACATAGAAAGAATAACATAGAAAAAAGAATAAAATAATGGCGGTAATCATTTGGACACGGACGAAACACGCACAACTGTGAGTCGACCGCAATGCAAACGTAACGACAAGAAATCTTTTGTTTTCAGCAATGTCAACAGGATTCTTCAGGTCACAATGACGCCTCTGCACGTCGTAACAACAAAAACAACAACAGCCACAACGCAAATAACTACAACATCGTAAACAACAACAACAACAACAAGAAGGTAATCTACGTACAACTACAGCAACAACAACGACATTCAATCATCCAGCAGTACAAGAAGCATTAAAAATAACTAAAAAAATAATAAACCATCAACTCACACAATTAATTGATATCCTACTGATTTATAATCTTTTGGTCTCTCTAAAAAATCGTAAATAGAAGCCTGCAGTCTTCGAATCTTCATGTCCTTCCTGCGGCGGTTCAAGGACGCCATCTTGTTTTCGTAAGCGGACGTGAGAGAGGTGGAGCATCGTTCAGGGGGCAACAACATGGAGGGCAGTGGTGTTGATGATGATTTCAACAACTTCATGTGCAGTGATGACGATGATGAAGGTGGTAGCGGAGAAGATAATGACGTCATAGCTGTTTGGGAGCGTTGGTAGCGCGTTCTCAATGCTGTTGTTGTTGTTGATGTTGACGTTGTTGTTGTTTTTGTTGTTGTTGCCGCTGCTGTTGCTGAGGTTGTTGTTGAATTTGTTGACAATGTTGATGATGGTTCTTGCATTAACAATGTGTCCTGTTCGGCTGCCATGTCGGCTGTTGAAATGAGACTGTTGCGAGACAAACTTTTCAACTCATTTCAAGTCTAACTCTCATTTATGAGTCGTTTAGATGCTCAAACAACTGTTGCACTCCTATATAAAACAACAACACTCACAGAAGAACATGCAAAACAGTTCACCAGTTGTTTGCAACAAATATTAAGTCGTAGTATTCGCTCGTCAATGCAAAGATATTCATAGCAAGAGGAAAACGTTGAAGGCATAATTTTTTTCCGGAATGAGGAAACTGATGTAGGAGGTGATGTTTTTGTTCTTTATGGAATGTTCTACAGCCATTCTGGAGAAAATCATTTGTTTGTTGGTGTCTGTTGGTATTTGTCGTTGCTTGTTTGTCGTTGTAGGCTGTTGTTGTTGTTTATTTGTTTGTTGTTGTTTCTTGCCGAGTGTCAGTTGCTGTTGATCTTTGTTGTTGTGTTTTATTTGTTTATTGTTGTTGTTTGTTTTAAACAAGATTAACTATTTGATTCCTTAGTCGCATATTTATTTGTTTTTCTTTTATTCACTGTTTTTGTGGACAATTGGTTACTGTTGTCGTTGTTTTAGAATTTAGTGAACTGGTTGTGGTTGATGTTGTTGTAACGTTGTTGTTAGCGTCGCTGCTAGTGATGTTGTTGCTGACGTTTTGTTGTTGTGATTACTTAATTTTGTTGATTATTTCGAACTTCTCTTCCATCAGTTTCTGCCAATAAATTTTTGAAGATGTGCCTGATGTTTTGTTTCCTAGTCCGTGTGCTTGTATATTTGTCTGAGTATGTGTGCGCGTTTGTTTGCTTGCATGTGTGTGTGTTTATATTTGTTTTTTTGCTAGTTCGTTTGTTTTTATGTTTGAGTGTGTGTGCTTGTTAGTTTGTTATATCGTGTGTTTTTGTGTCCTTGAATAACCCATGTTTGTTTGTTTGTTTTTCTGTCTGTCTGTTTGTTTGTTGGCTTGCATGTTTATGATGCGTTTGTATTTGTATTGCGCACTTGGTTGTTTGTATCCATTGTATTTTGTGTTTATTTGTTGTTGTTGATGATGATGATGATGATGATGATGATGATGATGATGACATGATGATGATGGTGGTGGTGGTGGTGATGATGATGATGATGATGATGATCATGATGATGATGATCATGATGATCATGATGATCATGACGATGATCAATTTTTAATCTTTATGATGTAATGCAGTAATTCAACATTGAATGATCCAATTTCAATTCAAAATTATTTCGTGTTTTGGTTGCCAAAATTTAGTTTTAACGGTGGTAATATATTAATTAAATTAATTAATCCTTTATGTAACAATTGAGCGACGTGATTGCGTAACGTTCAAAGGCACCTTGTCATGCTGTTGCGGTCCCTGGGTTCGAATACGAAGAGATCCCCACAACCTATCATGTTCATAATAAATTAAATTATAAAATACATAACTATACAATGAATGTCTTTAATTCATCAGGATCGCGACATGAATGTTGTATGATGGTGGTGGTCCCGCTGTAGTTGTGCCAGCAGCTTAGTGGCAAGCAAATGAAGGCAAAACAGCATAAAAAAGCATTCATCAAAAAATAATAAAAAAGTTGAAGACATCATTTCGTCCCAGTGTTACAATTTAATCCACTGATCAGAATAGATCGATCAATCATCCAATTGATATCATTCATCCGGTTGATATCATTCAGTCAGTCTGTTGCAGGTCGAATATCATTGCAGGTACCAAGTCAACATCATCTTATTGCACTTTTTTGTCAACTGTGAATCAACGTTCATGCCGAATAATTTATGTGTTAATCATTCATATAACATTATATTCGTACAAATGCGTGCAGTAGAGCGTCGAAATGTGTTAATGCGTTTAACATTCGTCTGAGACGTCCACGCATATTTAATATGGAAGAGCGCGATGTGCGTTACGTGCGTAGTTGGTAGGCGAAGTGGACAATGTTCGTCCCGGCGATTGTTCGTCTGTTTGTACGTTAATCTACGTACGAATTCATTCATTCTATGTGTACGTATGCATTCCTTCCATGTGATGCTGATAAATGTACGTGAGTGTGTACGATGTATGTACGCGTATGTAGGCGTATGCACATGAATGTAGGCGAGTGTACAAAAAGAAGATGAATTATTGTCGTGTTTTACATGGAGTTGTTCTGTGCGTGTGCCTTCCATGCTATCGATGCGCAAATTCATCTGGACATTTTCAGCACGCTTTTTATTTTATGTCAGTATTCTTCTCTTTATATTATTCTTTCGTAATTTAAAGAAACATTTCCTTCTTTTTAAGCATTTATTTTTCAAAATATTTTATCTCTGGTATGAGCACAAACAATTTTTATATAAGTCTTTGTACATACATGTATATTAAGTAATCCAAATATATATATATATGTATTTATTTGTGAGTGTGTGTATGTGTGTGTGTGTGTTTGTGTGTGTGTGTGTGTGTGTGTGTGTGCTGTGTGTGCTGTGTAAATCTATATTGATTTAGCTGTGTTGGCTAAACGAAGAGTCAATAAATCCATCTATCCCATTATTCGCCCATCAATAGTTTTCTTTTTTTTAAGTTTTTGCCACCATCTATAGACGTTGTTTTCATTTCAATCTGTTCAATAGTAAGATTTGTATCATTATTTTCATCGTCATCGTCTTCATCATCGTCTTCATCATCGCCATCCTTCGTAACTTTGTGTGGCTATATCTCTTATGTTTCATTCTTATATCTTATTTCTTTCATTATATTGTTTCATAAATTAACTTTATTATCGTGTGCAAGAGCTTACTCAAGATCATTTCCATCTTTTCCATCTTTAACCTCTTTGTGTCTTATGTGGTGTCCAGATATTTATCTAGAATATTTTTCCAGATGCGTGTTAAATAATGTGTTGTATTATGCTTCGGAGGTTTTCAGGGTACTTACTCTACAATCATCACTATCATTTTCATCATCGTCATCATTATCATGATATAACATCATCGTCGTTATCATCATCATCCTCAACATCATATAACGCGATGAGGTTTAAACCGATGTAATGTGATTTGATGTATTGTGATTTGATGCAATGGGATATGATGTGATATGGTGTAACGTAATGCCATATGATGTATAGTGATCTTCTTCTTGATAAGAAAAACTTATGCTAAGAAAATGCTACAAAGTTGATTGAGCAGGATAAAATAAAATAAAAATAAAATAATACATTGATGACAGTGTGAAATAGCAAATTACTATTCAAACTTTTTCAATTATTTATATTCTTATTTTTCGAAGCGTAATAACGATATGATGAAATGAGCCAATCGTAATAAGTAATGAAATGAAATGTGAAACGAACCAAGCTGGCTGGTAGGCGCCATCCTTCACGATGCATGACTTTCCTGAGACATAATTCCTAGCTATAAAATTAACATATTCATGAGGACAGTTTCTCACAGTCATCCATCAAGATTTAGGTTGGATTAAAAATTAAAAACTTCAGGCTTGGTGGCCGCCAACTCAATTTATGAACTGCGCACGTTGTATAGTCTGTGAGTTAATCATTCATCGTGGGTCGTTTTCGTACAGATGCGTTATACTCAATATGTCTTGTTTTGTTCATCCATCGTCCTTCCCATACGTCTATCGTTATATCCATCCATCCATCTATCTATCCATCCATCCATCTATCTATCCATCCATCCATCTATCCATCCATCCATCTATCTATCTATCTATCCATCCATCCATCTATATATCCATCCATCTATCCATTCATTTTGACGTACAATTTGTTGTAGAGATAAAATTATATTCCCTGGTGGGTTGATAATCCTGAGCATAAATTATTTCTACGTACGTGTGTTTGTGTGCGTGCGTCTGTGTATCTGTGAATTTGTTTTGAGTGTTTGTGTATCTGTGTACGGTAGTATGTGTTTGTGTGTTCTTTTATGCGTGTGTGCGTGTGTCTTATGTGTTTGTCCTGTTTTTTTCGTGTGGGTTTTTCTTCCGATAAATGAATTTTACAGTACTAACTGAATAGTTGAAAACTTTCAAAACATATAATTATTTTAATGTAAATTTATAATCGTAGTTATTTCACAACGCCGTAATACTTCATACAGCTTTCAGTTATTTATTTTTGGGCTTTATAAATAATTTTTATTTTTGAAATATTTATGTGTGAAATCAAGTTATTTTATTTTTAACTATATCTTTTCATAAATCAAACTTTAATTCCATCAGAAAATAAATGTAAACACTAATATGCAAATGAATGTAATTAAATTAATACAATTAGAATGTTATTCCATAAATTTATTGGAACCTAATGACGACGCACAGCCTGTCGAAACTTTCAACAAAATAGACCGGGCAGTTCATGGGATTGGATTTGGATTCATCGAGATCCATCTTCTTATTCAAAACTTTCTTTATACATCGCCATCCAGGTTTTTCCCATTCTATGTAACAAATATATACGTGTGTGCTTGTGTATAAATATATATATATATATATATATATATATTTATTTATTTATATACTATATAATAATATAATATATATATAAACTTATATAATGCCTGCTTCTACGTCCTATATATTTATAATTGTTATACATATATATATACATATATATATATATATATATATATATATATATATATATATATATTATTTATTGATATTTGCGTATTTATATTTATTTATAATTGAATCGCTCAGCATCAACCAAGATATGGACGAACAAAAGATGTGTTTAGTTTTGAATAACATGCTGAATTTAAAAAAAAAACAGCAGAACACATGTTAGGATGGGAGTTGACATTTGGAGAGTGTAGGACTTTTTGTTGACACCCGAATAATTTAATTTGTTATTCCTCTGTCTCTTTTTTGTTTTTTTTTTAGTCAATGAAATGTTATTCCATACTTTAACGCATGTTACACATTCGGGATAAAAATTTAAATTTCATTCGAAGAATGAAACTTTTCAACTGTTTCATCTTTGTTTCATTCGAATAGAAGATGACCTTCAGCATTTATTTAAAATAAACCAGAAGCCTGTAAGACTTGTAAGTAACCGTACTAGAAGAAGAACAATATTAACCCTCTACCGCATACCGATGCCATTTGGCATCATTACTTTTATGCTTCCTTATAAACTTTACGATGCTGAAAGGCAGCAATATGCATATCTCTAGGATAATAGTTACCATAGAGATTCAAAATTTGGTAACTATTCAGATATCTATGTTTTTGATCTATTTTTAATTCTTTTGGAAATTTCCTATCAAAGTAAGCAATTTTCGAGTTTTTTAGATATTTTCTATAAATTCCGCAATTATATCTAAATAATAATAAATTTATGATCAGGTAATCGTTTTATTAGTTTTTATGATAAAATTTATTTCGTAGCGTTAGAATGAATGACTGTTGTGTTATTGACATCCAAATATGCGATGCCAAACGGCATCACCATGCTTTCTGCATAGCAATGCTTTCAGCGTCGCCATGCTTTCGACATCGCCATGTGTGACTGTTTGAGTTTTATAATATAGAAAATAATTATGTCATAGTAGTAATATTTTATATTATATATTTTTTTAATTTCAGTAAATGGCTACCATGAATGTAAAATCGTTTTACATAAGAGATATTCCTGTTAAGAGTGATGATAGTCAATTGTCATCAGACAGGACTATTCGGTAATCTCGGAAACGGCAAAGTGGTTTTTTCAGAAATATTTATTTATAGTCAACAGTTTAAAGAGACTCATAAGCTCCACCCACGGTGCAACTAATAAACTAAATACAGCCTGCATGTTCGTTGGTTAGCGAAAGTATAATGTAAACAGCCGAAATACTAAAAAAAGGAAAACCGTTTTTGAGTAATTATTTTAAAAATGTTATTGAATTTAAAAAAATAAATAAAATGTAAAACGCTTGACAATGCAATCTACCCTTAAACGATTTTGAATCAAAATATAACCTGAATTTTATGCTTTGTACCATATAATTAGAATAAATATAACGGCCTTCGCTCATTTTTGACGGTCGAACAAGGAGCTTACTTCCGGAGGAAAATTGGAGGGTGATTTTTTATCACCCAAGTCAAAAGTTACGATCGTATATTTACTAATTTCGGAATATTGCTTTTATTTAAAATTTCAAAATGTTTTAAAAGGTGATACTAGATGCTGTTTTGGGATAGATATTGCTGTATGATGGTTAAGTATCTTTTTGCATTTTAAATAAAAAAAATTTTTTGTGAACCACCAACAACACAACAACACTAAACGACGACTAATTAGTAATTAAATTACTAAACTCTAATAATTAAACTAAAACTAATCTCTACTGATTCTAATTACTAATTGAAATAAATAACAGATAACACTAACGAACATTAACAGATTAGACTACTAGAAACTACCAACCACTACACTAATACATACTACTACTACACTAACGACTAACAGCACTTGTTCCTAAGATCCTAAATTCTATTGCTTGATTGGTTTTAAAATTTTTATTTACAATGCTTAGGTCTGGGAATAAAAAATATACTAAATTAAATAAATATATTAAACAACTTACCAATCAATTTTATAAAATAAACAATTTTGTAATTTGTTCAATTCAAGCTTCAAACTCCCCAAGCTAACTTGCAATTTAATTAAAATTTATTAATTATGAGTGATTCAAACTAAATTTTTTTTTATTTAATTCCTCATTCTTAAATTGTAGTACATGTTGTTATTAATTTTATTAAAGATAATGTGTGATTCCAGTGATTCATCAATCCATGACTTGTTAGATCATGATCATTCAGTTTTAAAGAATCCCCATCACCATAACCAATGAGGTTTGTAAAAATTGTACTTTTAATTTATTATATTTTATGCACTTAGAATGTTGTGTTATTAATTATTATCATTAATTTATTAAATGTTGTGCATACCTATAGCAAGTAAATAAAATAATTAAGCATAGAAATAGCCACAATCAAATTAATTTATATAGGCATGAGTATAATTTGGATAATAATAATTAAAAATATCAGTATCATTGAAAATGGATAAAGTCATAAATAAAAAAATAAATCATAAATTGCTAAAAATAATAGTTCCAGTAAGATTTTGCCTTACACCTACATCTTTTTTTTCATTCTTATATTATAATAAATGTTATCAAATATATCAAGGATTGATTTCTCAATCCATGACTAGATTGAATGTCATGACCCTACAGTTCCAGAGGATCCCCATCACCATTAGTCAATAAGGTTTGTAGAAATCACCCCAGGCATACCATCAATGTTTTGTAGCCACCTTTTAATGTAGTGTTAATAAAATGACATTGAGAATAGTTATTTAAAACAATCTTATTAAAATTATTGAACAGGTACGACAAGATTACTTTCTTAATGTCCTAGTGTGAGGAAGATGTAAGCCATTTGTCCAAAGATAATCATATGCCTTATGCCCATACAAATGCAGTGTCAACGCGAATGATTTTTGATCAGAGTCATATGTTCTAATTTTTTTAAACTTTTCCAGAAATTTTTCTGTTAATTTATTTGTTACATTAAATACTTGATGTGTATTTCATATAAAAACTTGATTATGCCAATTTAGTTAACTTGTTAAGCATTAATATAAAATTGACTCTACTTGTAATGGTGATTGGTATGATGATGATGATCCCAGTCCTAAACAGGGTTTATTATTCACAATGTCATTATGCCCTTTCTAAATTTTAATAAAATACATGGAATGTTGGTGAATGCATTTTATATTTTTTGTATAGATAATGTTGCAATGTACAATGATGATGTGAATTGCTTCCTTGTGTAACTGATGACATATAAATATAACTAACTTGAAAACATGGGAATGCTTTCTTCAGCATTACCTTCCTTTCTCCATCATAACCCTTATAATCTTTATTACAGAAATGGTCACTGCATATTCTTGCATTTTTTGATGGAAGCCATTTGAAATCATTTATTTCCTGTCTGATGCACTTAATCCAATCGTTTTGCATTTTTACATTTTGAGGAAATCTGAAATTTTATAAACTGTTACAGAAACTTGTGCATTTCTTAAGTATTGCTTTTAATAATAAAATGGTAATCCATGGTAGCATTATAAATTATAATAGCTTATAAAATAAAATATATGTAATTGTAAAACAAAATAGTTCTATTCAACGAGTATAGGGATATTGTTACATTTATTTTAGTGTGAAGTTAATTTGAAAATAAACCTGTGAAAAGATGCATCAGAAATTTTCTCATTTCTATTTATTATTAATGCAATTTTTAATGCAACAGGTAGGCATGTTTGTGTATAGCTACGAAAATGAAAATTTACTTAAAAACTAAATTATTGTATCCGACACGAAAATTAGTACAGAAACAAAAACGAAAGAATAAATGACAATATAAAAATTTAAACATTGATTGAAAGAGTTTATTCTAATTATATGGTATGGGCAATTCGTTGCGAAATCATTGGAGGAAATGGTGTCAACAGTAGTTATTTTACTGCATGGTAGTTAATCAGCCGGTATAAAGGTTATATTCAATTCCTATCAAATAAATTTGACACAGGCAGAACTAAATAAAGAAATAGACATGTAGTTATAATACATTTATAATGTTGTATTTACACATTCAAATTGTACAATTGTGTTATGGTGTAGTCTCAAATTATTTTAAATTCTCTCAGAAAATTTTAAACGTTTTACTACACTATATATACTAGTTATTTTTATCAACAATTTAAAAATTTTATCAATAATTAAAATAAAATTTCAAATTGATTTCATTGCGATATCACTAATGATTTTTGTGACCTGACTGATTAAAAAGCATCAAAGAAAGTTAAAATAGGATGGAAAATTTGTTATATTGGAATATTCGTTTAAAAAGCGAGCAAAATTTTAATATAAAAGCGCTTATAAATCTATGCATATTGGCTCAGCTTGGCTTGGCTCGGCTTGGAATCGGATGTTAAGCAAGGTGTGGTCTTAAACTATTTTGAATTCTCCCCGAAAAATTGGAGCTGCGTGCGTACATATATGGTAATGGCTACTGTTGTTTTTTTATAATGAATTTATGCATATTGGCTCAGCTTGGCTTGGCTCGGCTTGGAATTGGATGTTAAGCAAGGTGTGGTCTCAAACAATTTTGAACTCTCCCCGAAAAATTTGAGCTGCGTGCTTACATATATAGCACTGAATACTGTTGCTTTTATAATGAATTTTATTATATATATATATAAAGTGACTGGAATCCATGTATGCAAATAATTAAATTATATTATATTAGATTGTGTTTATATGAAAAGCAATATAGCAGATTCAACCGCCAACCAGAAGTTTCGAAGGCGTTAGTTCGATGACTTCAATTTAGTACGATTAGCATTTTGGTTAAGACTGTATAATAGTGTAGTACATACATTAAATAAGTTTTTTATTGATGTGAATGATTGAAATGATAAAAATGTATGGTTGAAACGAGTATAAATAGGAGCTGAAAAAACGTTGAAATCAGATCAGGCATTTCTGCCTCGCTCGAATCGGAGTGCCTGATCTCATTTTTTTATATTTATATTTTTTTAATTTATTTATTTTTATTTAATTTTATTTTATATAGAGTTATATAGAGTTTGCATGTCTGTGGTTTGTGTGTTTGTATGTTGTATTTTTTTATATTTTAGGTGGGTTCTTTAGCGGTTGCTCATACATACATCATGTTTGTTTGTGTGGTAGTATTTTATGTTCTGTTTTACTCCTTTTTCTCTTTCTTCATGAGTCTTGAGTTAAGTTAATAAAGCATAGGTAGGTGAGGTAAAAATTAATTTATTATATAGGTAGGCTAGGGCATAAGGTAATTTAGTTACATAGGTAGGTTAGGGACTCCTATTCTTTTGCTCTACTTGGTGGTGTGATTTTTGTTTTGTGTTTTTTTTGTTTTGTTTCACATCATACATTCAGCAAGTACGCGGTGGTTCCTGGTTTTAGTGGGATTTTTATTGATTGA